CTGAAGGAGGGAGCGGGTCACCCTGAAGAGGGCGGCCGGGCGATTATCTGATGACGCGATGAGTGAGGAGTAGTAGTTAGTCCTAGCCACCCTCATCGCCACTAGGTAGGATCTAACATGTATCCTTACCTGTGTTCGATCGGATTCGGTTCGGCTGGCCCTCCAACTTCTCTCTAGGCGTCTTTTCTGACGTTTCATCTCTCTCAGCTCCCCGGTAAACCAGGGAGCCAGTCGAGATCTACGTCGGGTCAGAGGCCGCAGAGGCACGACTCGGTCCAATGCTGCGGCGGCAGTTGTGTGTTTGCACCCCCCATTCGTTTGAGGGTGGTGACTGGAGCTAAGCCCTTGGTCAATACTAAAGAGGCCCAAGAATGCTCACCAGAACTTGGAAGTGAACTGCACCCCTCTGTCAGAAATGATGCATTGGGGTGCACCATGTATTAAGTACACATGCTGTACAAACAATTTGGCCAATGACCATGCTGATGGGATCTTTTGACACGGGACAAAGTGCATCTGTTTAGAGAACAAGTCGGTTATCACCCAAATAACTGTATTCCATGAACTTTCAGGGAGTTCTACTATGAAATCCATGGAGATCTCTCTCCATGAGCTGACAACTCCACTACTGTTTGAAGGAATCCCAGTGTTTTCCCTTGCTGCTGCTTTGCTGAAGCACATATGGGGCAACTCACCACATAGCTTTCAGTGTCCTTTTTTTTTAAACAGGTTTTATTAAATTTTTCAATTTTTACAACAAGGTGCTTAGGAAGCAACGTGATGATCGGGTAATCAATTATCCAAAAAAACCAAAACATTTATATATAACTCAGGTTAACTCGTTAGAATCCCTCTCTAATTCCTACAAATCATATACCTTATTCAGATTAATACATTTATAATAAAATTCATTCAATCAATAAAATTATTAATAACCATTTAACTATATAAATCCCAATCCTGTATTTAAGCTTTACAAGATTCCAGTTACCATATTTCAGTTTAACCATACATAGGCCTAATATTTATGCTTCAGGTATCCCCAATTTCCCTCTTTTCATAACATAATAATTATAATATCTAAAAAGAAAAAAAGAAAAGAAAACATTTCTTAAATATATTCTATTCTTATTCTACTAGCTCCTCATTTATTAATACCATGTTTCCTATTAGCACAATCTTTCCTTATTCTCATTCCATTACAGAATAATTATCATACATAAAATAAACATATTAATTCAAAAAATACAATCTTACTCTATTTCACATATATATTCTACTAAGCAAAAAAAATTTCCTCTTGGTTATAAGTCTGAGTCTTAAACCTTAGATCAATCCATGTCTTAAAAGCCT